GCAGAAGAGATTAAGAAGAGGTGGCAAGATTACACAGAGGAACTATACAAGAAAGAGCTTAATGTCCCTGATAACTATGATGGGGTGGTCACTGACCTCGAGCCAGACATCCTGGAATGTGAAGTCAAATGGGCCTTAGGATGTCTGAGCAACAACAAAGCTAGTGGAGGTGACAGTATTCCAGCTGAGCTATTCAAAATCTTAAAAGACGATGCAGTAAAAGTGCTACACTCAATATGCCAGCTAATTTGGAAAACTCAACAGTGGCCACAGGATTGGAAAGGTCAGTTTACATTCCCATTCCAAAGAAGGGCAATGCCAAAGAATGTTCAAACTACCGCACCACTGCACTCATTTCACATGCTAGCAAAATGATGCTCAAAATCCTACAAGCTAGGCTCCAGCAGTATGTGGACTGAGAACTACCAGAAGTACAGGCAGGATTTCGAAGAGGCAGAGGAACTAGAGATCAAATTATCAACACACACTGGATCATGGAGAAAGCTAGGGAGTTCTAGAAAAACATCTATTTCTGCTTCATTGACTATGCTAAAGCCTTTGAATGACAGAAAGTGAAGAGGAACTAAAGAGCCTCTTGATGCAGTTGAAGGAAGAGAGTACAAAGTTGGCTTGAAACTCAACATTAATAAAACCAAGATCATGGCATCTGGTGCTCTCACTTCCTGGCAAATAGATGGGGAAGAAATGGAGGCAGTGACAGATTTTATTTTCCTGGGCTCCAAGATAATCGCAGATGGGGACTGCAGCCAAGAAATTAAAAGACGCTTGCTCCTGGGGAGGAAAGCTATGGCAAATCTAGATAGCATACTAAAAAGCAGAGACATCACCTTGCCAACAAAAGTGCGTATAGTCAAGGCTATGGTTTTCCCAGTTGCAATGTATGGCTGTGAAAGTTGGACCATAAGGAAGGTTGAGCGCCGAAGAATTGAGGCCTTTGAATTGTGGTGCTGGAGGAGACTCCTGCGAGTCCCTTGGATAGCAAGGCGATCAAACTGGTCAGTCCTAGAGGAGATCAACCCTGACTGCTCTTTAGAAGGCCAGATCCTGAAGATGAAACTCAAATACTTTGGCCACCTAATGAGAAGGAAGGACTCCCTGGAGAAGAGCCTAATGCTGGGAACAATAGATGGCAAAAGAAGAAGGGAACGGCAGAGAATGAGGTGGCTGGATGGAGTCACTGAAGCAGTCAGCGTGAGCTTAGGTGGACTCCAGGGGATGGTGGAGGACAGGAAGGCCTGGAGGAATGTTGTCCATGGGGGCATGATGGGTCGGACACGACTTCACGACTAACAACAACAATTCATGGCTTAGCTTTTTTCCTCAAGTAATTTTCCTACAGCCCATTTCAAGAAATCACCAGGGATCTGTTTATAGCTACCTTTTGGTGGCTGTAGCAGTCTGGAGTTCTGAAACAGATGTTTCTTCCTGATTGGCAAAATTACTGTGTCTTTCAAATCTGTAATAACATCATCTAAACCCGCAATATCATTCCATGTTACCTAAGGCACAAATACAGCATTGAAAAAGTTACAATGTAATTATCAAACAAACACATTCTCAAGACTCAAAAGATGCTGGGAACAGTAGTTACATTTTGAGGCTTATTATGCAATTATGTGTAAGTAAATACAATATATAAAAGAGAAGAGGTGAAGTAAGGAAAGACCAAAAGCAAATGAGGGTTGGAATATTCTTTTAATGTTGATCTTGATGGTAATTTAGGGTGCAATCCTAAACTAGATGGCCACAGAAAAGGCTGAAATCCCAGCTCTGACTTTAGTAAAGGAAATCTTAGCTCAGAGTTTGCCCATTCTTTCATTTTGTATCTGAAGTTCATTGTGAGCTATTTCAGAAACAAATCACTCTGTGTTGCTTTATTGGCAGGATGGGTCATCATGTCATGCAAACATGCCCAAGCAAATCATGGTTTCTCTTCTCAGACCCTGGGTTGTTTGATTCTCCTTTGCCCACTCCCTCCCTATGTCCCTAATACTTTTGGGGCACTGCAGTATTCATATGTAAAGAGTCTTAGTTTGTTGGTTGGGGGTTTTTTTTTTTTATCAAAATAACATTTGCTTGCAGCCTGGTAAAACAACCCATGCTTCTGATACACACATAAGAGCAACCCATGGTTTAAAAATCCCACAGTTCACAATCCAATCACACACTATTAGTTCCTTCATGGGCCATTTTCAGTTAACAACCCGTAGCTAACACAAAGTTGTAGGTTCACATATACTGACAACCCATGGTTGTTTGGGTACATGATTGGGTTTGCACTTAACTACATGAAGTACAGGTTGCTGCATCATGTTTTGTTACATTGAAATGCTGCACTATGTTTTAACTATGTGTTAACCAAAGGGTGTAAATATGATGCTTTCCTAAGAAACACATAATTGTGGCTGTGCCACTGCATTATGATTTACTCTATTTCTTATTATCAATCATTATCGATTGTAGTTTTATTACTTAGGTTTAAGTCCATGATAAAAAACTTCATTTTGTATAGTGTATGCATGTAATTATATGCATATAGAACATGTTTTCATAAATTCTAAAAACTGAATTATATGTTTAATACATAAAACTCAAATGGATAAATTAGAGTCATGGGTGGACAGCATGAATGAATTTGCACATTCCACTTGCCAGGACTGATTCATCACTTACTAGCTGGTTTGTCTGATTTCATGTTTCAAAATGCCTTTCCCCCAAAATCTTTATGCAGGACAGATACTCTCTTTGTGGTAAATATACTATATCTGAAAGTCATGATTAACCAATATATAAGCCTATAAATACATAAACATTTCTCCTACATGGATTTGACAAGGCCCATATGACCTTGGGGATGGATTTGTGTCCCACTTGCATTCTATGACTATGATAATATCTAAAAAGAAATGGGCTTGTGGGTTGCCAGAAGTGAAGTCTAATAATGAATTCTATTTTGGTTTTCCTATGCACTAAGAAATTTATCACCAGGCAGTCTCATCCATTTCCTAAGTTAAAATTCTCAATTTATTAAAGTGCAATTCCTGCAAAAACTCAGCATTCATGTTTTACCCCCCAATAATACACTTTACTATCTCTCCAAAGCACTGTTTTTACAAAGGAATAGTAACCAAGAGAAAGCCACTTACATGCATGCTAAGAGGGTCGACGAGATGAGCAGCAATGCTCATTTCATACTCGGATAACTTGACATTTTTTACACCTATTTGCTTCATTAATCTTTCTGCCTATAACAGAAAAACACAAGCATTCAGTAATATGACATCAGATGATCTGTTTAGTCAATACTGCCAGGTATGAATGTTACTTCGTTACTTGAAATATACATTTCAGTGAATTAGGAGATTTGCAAATAAAATCTTCAAATTCTCATTTGAACACAGTAATCCTGTGGTTTTTTCTTTTAGTAAAAGAGGGAAACTTATTTGATAATTGGTCAATAGATCAAGTAAATAAAACTAATTCAGCATATCCATGAAAAATCAAAGTATTCCAACTTTATTTTATTCTTTCACAACCTTTTTGTAATTAAAAAGGATCTTACAACATCCCATCTGAAAGAGAAGGTAAAAAGGATCTTACAACATCCCATCAGTTCATTCTGCTCCATTTACCCTGAGTCACATTTTCTATCAACTCTGAATACAAACTGTTGGGGGGGGGAGGCTCCCCCAAAACTAGCTTTATGAACCAAGAGTTAATCCAGAATTCTTAAAGAGCAGTTTCTGAACAGACTCTCATCATACAAGATTAGATAATGTGCCCCCTCCAGTTGTGGCAACTGGAGAATTGTGGTATATATTTTCATATTAATAGTAATCTGATAATATTTTCACATGCAAAATTATCTTTATAGTTACATGATTTAAGAATAGGCAAGAAAATATTTCTTGCTGTTCAATGGGTAGGCTCTTCTGCTTTGGATCAGTTTGTCAGTCCTGATTATGATTTTCAGCCAGCTTTGTGTATGAAATATAAGTTGCCATCTACAACAGAATGGCAATATATGCAACTTAAAATTTTCTTAGAATCCTGGTTTGGTTCAGCTGCTTTTACAGCTTCAGAGCTGTGGGTTTATTAGGAGACTAAGGCTGAACAATTACATCAGCCTACAATTTATGTAGTAACTTATTAGTGAATAAATATGATACACAGGGCCTTAACCAGGAATGGAATAATGAACCAAACACTCCATCTTGCCCAGTCAATGGAGTGTGTCATTTTTATCTATTTTGCAGTGGGCATGGATCTTAGCCACCTCCCCCCACCAGCAAAAACTGATGTTTCACCTATAGTGGATGCCACAATATCTGTTTGATAAGAAATTGATTAAATCAGCCAACTGTTAGAAGTATAATATTGCTAGTTCTTCTCTTCTTCATATATATTGGCAATGTCAGTGAAGCTTCCTTTTGGGAAGGAGTAATAATTCAGATAAATCTTGTGGTGCAAAGTTCTTTAATATTAACCTACCCATCTCTTGGAATTTAATGAAACGTCAATGAAATTGGACTTTCTGCACCCTTTTGACAGCTAAAAGCCTAATATTACAACATTGGAAAGAGAAATGTCCACCTGCAAAAACAGAATGGGTGTAGAATTTAATGGAACTTTCCATTTTTGAATGGGTTGCCCTTAGGCATAATTTACAAATGGATAAATGTAAATTTGAGGTGCCTTTTCTTTAGCCTACACATTATTTTTAATAACAGTAGCATGTTCTGTCATATACTAACATAGAGATATTCAAGATATATGTAATTAGTGCAATGAATCTGTTTACATTTTATGAAAAAACATAATGTTTTGTTCGTCTCTTTTTTAATATTGTGGTTAGAGGTTTTATTTTATTGTACAATAGAAAATTAATAAGAAAATACAGTAGTTTCTAAGCATTCCTGAATTCTACCATTTATTTTAACTTCAGTTGAAAATAAAATAACACCTATTTTGCAAAGCCTTCATACTTTAATGGCAATTAGCAGAAATCAATGAATCAATTTGTAAGTGAATAGGCAAAGAAAAGCAAGCAGAATACTTTCAAAATCTCAGGTTTACAAGTGTACAAGACTCCTGCTACAGCCTTTAGAGCTAAAGATAATAGTTATCCAGATGTGAAAGTGCTTCACTGAAACAGTAAAAGAGGCTGGATCTTCAATTCATAGTCTGCTTTTCATATTTTATTACATCTACACATTACTGGGTAGAGGCCCACCTATAAATGGGCTCTTAATGTGACCTATTGCTTTTGCCTTTAAAAAATAGCAGCTGCTTTGAGGAAGATATTCCAATTAGGTATACATTATGTCTAAGAACAATTTGGCATTTCTCTTGGATAAAGCTCAACAAGGCAGAGGTATCGTAGTGGTTAAGAGCATGAGACTGGGACTCAAGACGACCTGGGTTCGAGTCCCCGCTCAGCCATGGAGCCAACTGGGTGACTCTGGGCCAGTCACAGACTCTCAGCCCAGCCTACCTCACAGGGTTGTTGTTGTGGGGATAAGATGCAGGAGGAGAATGATGTAAGCTCCCTTTAGCCCTTTGTAGGAAAAAGGCAGGATATAAATCCAAAAATAATAAATAAATAAATAAATAAATAAATAAATGTATGTATGTATGTATGTATGTAAAACATTTCTAATTTGGCATTTCTCTTGGATAAAGCTCAACAAGGCAGAGGTATTTATTTATTTATTTAAAACATTTCTATGCCGCCCCCATTGCAACAAGGCCTCGGGGCGGCTCACAAAGAATACATAAAAACATACATAAATAATAACATAACAATTAAAAAAAATTAAAAACCCCTGGTGCATTCTCGGCTAAAAGTTTTAAAATCCTAATTAATTCAATAATTTAACAATTAAAATAAGTTTTTAAAAAAAAGGTCTTAGCCTGGCACCGAAAAACAAATAACAATGGAGCCAGGCGGACCTCTCTGGGGAGCGCATTCCATAGATGGGGCGCCACCGCAGAGAAAGCCCTCCTCCGGGTACTCACCCTCCTAATATCATTCACAGAGGGTTCCCGGAGAAGGGCATCCATTGCTGATCTCAAGGGGCGGGAGGGCATATATGGGCGCAAGCATTCCTTTAGATATCCAGGTCCCAAGCCGTTTAGGGCTTTACAGGTCATAACCAACACCCTGAATTGGGCCCGGACTTCAATCGGGAGCCAGTGGAGCTGATGGAGAACTGGGGTTATATGAGAACAATGCCCAGTCCTCGTCAGCAATAGCTATACAAGGAAGATGTTGAAAAGAGGGAACAATTACTTATACTAGTTATTAAACATAGAGACAAGATTTAGGTTGAGCATTATTAAAGCTTCAAATGTAAGGTGAAGCCAATAGATGTCCCCTAATGCTGTGGCACATTCATCCCCACGCAAATAGGTAAACCACAACAAAAACTATGCATACTTGGAGTTTAGGTGACAGCCCTGTTGTCAGCCACTGCAAGCAATATTGTGACTGGCCTAAGTAGTTGCATCAGTGCTTAACCAACAAAGGGAGTCTCATGAGATTGCAGACAACTGGTTAAAAACTGGACCCTTGTGTTTAACTGCATTTCTTGACCTCACATGTACCTGGAATTTGCTGGAGTTGAAGGAGAAGTGCAGATGGATCTGTGGAGCATCATCAGCGTCATAAATCACCCCCCACACAAAAACAAAAAAAGAAAAAAACAGGAAGATAACAAGCCACCTAGAGCAGCAGGATTTCTGTTTCTTAGTTCTCTAAGTAATGGCAGCAGAGTTTCAAAATGATGTTTTAAGGGATATTATTAGCATTATTATTTCACTTTTCTGCCAAAGAAGATTAGGGCAATGTACAAAGCTCTTCATCCTTAAAACTCACAACTTTGTAAAGCAGACTGAGAGACTGTGACTCATCGAATCTTACCAAGTGAGCTTTGTCACTCAAAGCTCCCTAATCTAACCATCAAACCAAGGAGGTTATCCAGGACCCAAAATAAGAGATTGGTTCAAATGATTCATGGGGATCTTGTCCACTGAACGTGCGTAATTTGAGGCAAGAACAGTTACCATGTTCCCTCACATTTGTGGGCTACATCAACATGTGTGCCAATGTAAAACTGATGCTTAGTCCTGTATGGTGATTGACCTGAGAAGAAAAGCTAAGTAGATGCTTAGTCTTGCATATGCACATACTCCCTCTGACTCAAAGAGGGAGGAACTAATCTTTACAATAAATTTGGGATACAGATCTCAATTCTATTTATCACGTGACTCCCAAACAGAATATTTGTTTTATATGTTGCTGCTTAACAAAGAATATGGGATATTATCTTTTTAGACTACATATACATATCTGGGAGTAAGTCCCATTGAATGAATTGTATATTTCTGAGTAGAAATACAAACACAGGAGTACAGTTAGTTTCATAATGCCTAAACATTTGGAATTGTGTGTATTCTGTTGCATAGGTATCTGTAAGTTGATAAAAACCTTATTTCGAACACATACTTACATGGTTTGAATTTCAATTCTGGACTTTGTAGTTTGCAATCAGCTTTCTGTTTCCCAATTACAATCTGAGTAAGTTTGATACTTACAAAGAAATATTTATTTACCTGTTTTTGAGCTTCTACTTTTTGTTTCCTTGTGGGATCGATTGCATCTACCATCCATTTAATGGTAAAATAGGTCACAGCACCAAATATTGTCAACCGGAAAATTAAACCAACAACTTCATTCCGACTTAGAGGGCGAGAAAAGGCTTCAGCATGTACCATATTTATGGTTTCACCTATACTGAAGAAAGATAGGAGAAAGGTCACAACCAGTATGTCCACACTTCATGCTAAGCTACAGTAAGTAGTTCTTTCATCTGATAACTCAGATGCATCCCAACAGACAATTAGGTGCACTGTGGCTTACTGTGAGCTGTTTCCCCCTTAGTCCTCCCATTCAGTCCTAGCACAGGTGTTTTTGCAGCAGAACCCCCCATTTCCTTATTCCTTGCAACAATACCCTTTCTATTATTTGTCCACTGATGCTGCTAGCTCTAAAGGAATACCTCTGCTCCATATCAGATCACTAAAGGGATCTAGTTTTCTCATCCCTTATGGACATAGTAACACATTTGCAAATGTGGGTTCTTTTTATATATAACTGGCTTTCCTGCAAGTGTGTAAGACCCATGTTTGCTATTTAGCCAACATACCATTTCCCTGTCAATGTCCTTGTCAATTCCATCCTCCCTCCTCTATGCTTCCTATCAAACATTGCCCCATCACAGACCTAATATTATGACCTCTTATGAACAGAGCAGCACATTCACAAACATATTTTTTAAACCATGCATGACTGTCTGCCTGAACATTTCAATAAGCCCCACTTTTCAGTGTCCTTTTACATTCTATTCTCTACTTCAGTAGTTCCCATGCTAGTGAACTTAAAAAAAAAAAAGAAGAAGAAGACTGTTTCATCTACTCCCAAAGTAATTGTACCCACTCTAAAAGCTTCTTCAGCTGAAGCTGTCAGATGCTTACAGCTGCCCCCACCCTTTCCGACTTATTACTTTCCACCACTGGTCTCTGTTGTTAACTGTGGGTTATGGAGCAGTGTAGTGGACTAGTAAAGATGTGCAGATTTCAAGCTATAATACAGAACTGGATTTATGTAAAAACACAAAGTTTAGGGTAAACACATGCATATTTCAAGGTAAACATAGACAAATTCCAAGGCAAAGCAGGGAAAAGGGAACCCACTGGATTTCAGGATGCTTTCAACAACCCATCACCAGTGAGGGTAATTAGGCAGGTTGTGACCAGATCCCACTAATTTCCCTCTGTGATCCTGTGAATCCAGTCAATATGCACTCTTTAAAAAGCATGCCACATGTAGGATACCATGTGCTACTCACTTTGCAGTAATTCAAACTCTAAGTGTTGTTTTTTAAACATAAGAAAGCATTTCAGAAAGATTATACTTGGCAAAGTGCTAGGTCTCTCAATGTGTTCTACACGTGTTTCACTATTGCAGTCAGCGGTATTTAGAAGCACTGTTCCCACCTTCCGATATGTTCTTGTACATTTAAGACTACACTATGTCAGAATGCTGCCTGCAGCATGTGCTCAACCTGGGTCCTCAGAAGTGCCACATGAGAACTTTACCTACTGAGTAGTGTAGTGGAGAGAAATGCAATTTGCTGAAACAACATATGAATAAGTCTTGCTTGAAATAAGGTGATGTTCTTCCAAAGCCTTCAATGCAGCCCCTCCTACTTGTATATAACCTTTTCCTAGGAGCCACATCCCAAACAAACTTCTATAATACTTTGGGACTTATGCTGCTGCCTTTAAAATGTTCCCACAGATACCCCAACTTAGGGAAAACATGTCATTCCAATGCGATATTGCTAGAAAAATGAAAAGAGAAAAATCATGCCACCGAGAGGGAAAGGCATAGCATAGGAGTTCATATAACTTGGTTAATATTTCAGCTCATTTTCTCATGAATAAAAGGAAAAGGAGCATTGCCAGAAGGAAGACCAGGAGAAACAAAGAAGGGAGGGTGGATGGAAAGGCACTTATACTGGAGCTGCTCTTACTTTTCCTAACTATTTCTACACAGCTCTGACTAAACATGCTTGCCATTAAAAGCTATTGATGGCTTCATGCCCCAGGCCAGCCTATGGCCTACTGCAACAGAAAGAGACATGGAGTGATCAACTTAGTATCTGGGTCAAATGGAATATTTACCCTATGGTTATATCAAGCCTGCATTACTTACAAGTATTAATTGATTAGAATAATACATGCACTGCCAATGTATTTCTTACCCTGCTCTGTAGTCCCTCCTCTTTGCAGCTGACCAGGGCAATAACCATGTATTCCAAGCTAGTGTAAAACAGGGTGCAATCCTATGCATGTTCAGACAGGAAGAAATCTTGTCTAAAGATTACACCCTTAAGAACCTAAAACCCAATGCCCACAGTTCCTAATTCAACTGAGATTCTGCATTAGCTAAACACAAGAGTTTTAACTTTGTTTAGGAACATGCATCATTTCCTCCTATCAAATATAGTTTAATTTTTTAAAGAGCATCGAAGAATACACCAATGAAGACACAAGGAAGTTTGCAGAACACCTCAAGCTTTTTGAAAAAAGTCAGTATTTACTGACTTAATAATGACAAAGTACTCACCATCTATCAGTATAAAAAGCTAGTCAATAAAATGCAGAGTTAGATTGAAGTTGAAAGCAACTGTACATGTAGCTTAATTTGTGTAAACCAATACATATATAATTTACTTAAAACATACAACTGGTGCACCTACAACTGGAGTATTGTGCTCAGTTTTGGGCCCCTCATTACAGAAAGGATATAGCCAGGTTAGTCAGAGCAGCGTAGGGCCACAAGGTTGGTGGCCGGTTTGCAGGGGATGCTGTATGAGGTGAGACTGAGGGAACTGGGTCTCTTCAGCCTGGAGAAGAGGAGACTCAGAGGGGATATGTTGGCGACATACAGGTATGTGCGGGGATGTCGCATGGAGATGGGCAGAGACCTGTTCTCCCCTGCAGAGGAAGGCAGGACACACTCCAACGGAGCAAAGCTCAGGGAGCCAAGGTTCCATTTGGATGCCAGGAAGCACTTCCTGACAGTCAGGACCCCGAGGGTGTGGAATGGGCTTCCAAGAGAGGTCGTTGAGGCCCCATCGGTTGGACATGCACATGGTGGGCATGTTGTGAGCGGAGCCGGCTGGAGCTGGGGGTCAGACTAGATGGACCGGGAAACCCCTTCTGACTCGCTCTGTTTCTATGTTTCTATGTAAGATTTTAGTCAGTCTCCTAGTCATCTTTGTTTTTCCTACAAGATAAAGTGATCCTATAGCCCAGTCGTGGCGAACCTATGGCATGCATGCCACAGTGGGCACACAAAGCCCTCTCTGTCAGCATGCGAGCCAAGTCACCCCAGCATCGCTCCAGCAGCCAAGCATCAGAGAACAGCGCACATAGGGGCCATGTGCATGCTCAGAAAGGAGTAGCAGCACCAGAGATGATGTCATGAGCCGCGACTTGTCCGAGCTTTTGCATGGCTGGTCAGTGCATTGCCAAGGATATATATATATATGCTTGGACTGGCTGTGAGGTGTTTTTTCTAAACTAAAACTTCAGTATTCCAGTTTTATTGCAGCGTTGGCACTTTGTGATAAATAAGTGAGTTTTGGGTTGCAGTTTGGGCACTTGGTCTCTAAAAGGTTCCCCATCACTGCTATAGCCAGTAGATGTCATCTACGAGGGCATGAGACTATTCAGATTTGTTTGGGGCTGGGAATATGTCCTCCAAACCCTTCCCCACTTCACAACTGGTAAAGAAAAAAACCACTCTTAGTTGCCTCTTTGAAATTAGGAAATCAAAGGTATAGGGTTATACTGGGGGGATGGAAAGGGAAGAGACTGAAGCTACCAAGTTATATAATATCCTGATGGGAATCCAGACTCCCACCCTCTCCCTCTGAAGTACCTCAATTGGACAGCTGAAAATGGAAAAGTAGCTAAAGTGCAGAGCAGGAGATGCAGGGAGGCATCCTACTCTTCAGGGGCTTATGAGCATCAGAAGCACAATCAACAGAACTGCAATTAAAGTGTTTGAACTACTACAGCTACATACAAGCAGCTTACCAAATCTGAAACCAACATACCATAAGGGGTACCCTAATATATGTTGTTTATCTATCTAGCTGAGGAGAAATTCTCAAACAAGCTATATGATGTACCTAGCTTGACACATATAGCAATACATTTGCTTCAAAGAAAATCTTCTAGATGAGAGTTCTGTTACTCCTAGGATATACATACAATCCTGCCTATAAGGTGAGGCCTACAAGGTGCAATCCTCTCCTTGTGGCTTGCTCTGGCATTGCAAAAATAATGGTCACATATAATCATCCCTGTCCTGCAACTTTGACATGTAAGCATTAAAATTCCATTAACATGTGGCAGCTGCTTTAAAAAAGTGATGATGACACCGACTTTATGAAGAGACAGTAATCTGTAAACACAATTCACATCATGAGCAACACTCAGACCTAGTTAGGACAACATGACACCCAACTATGGTTTATCATAGATGCTTTGCTGTGTCATGAGATCACAACCCAGCTCAACCAGGGTAGGTTGTTTTTGTTTTCCAAACAACCCACCTGCCGAACCCATAGGTTGCTGCCACCCAGAGTGGGTTGTCAGTTCATCTAAACCTAGACAACATGACTTATACTACAGCCGCTGAACTGCTTGGCAAAGTGGCAAAAATCTCTTGCTGCTCTTGACAGGTGGCTTCCAGGACAGCTTCATGCTGCTGCACTTGGGAGTTACTATCAGAAGCTTCCCCCTATCTGTAGTGGCACAGAACAGCAATTATTGTGGGCAGCTTGAGAGTATTCCTCTGTAGCTGCTCCCGAGGTTTACTCTGCAGCACCACCCCATGTGCAAGGCAGCAATATGGAACAGACTGGGCAACTCCATCTCCTCACCTAGAACAGACCTCTTGAGTCAGAAGTGTGAAGGCCAGCAATCTGCTTGGCAGTGCTGCTCCATGTTTGACTGGCATTGCCAAGTAGATTAGCACCCCATCCTTTCTAATGCATCATGGGCAAATAATATTTTTTTAAATATAGCACAAATAGGGCTTCTGCCCTGAAGTACAATGGGGTCAACTTCCAGCTTTGGCTGGGCAAGGTGCAGCCACCCAATACACAGTGTTGCAGCCAAAGATGTTGACCCTGTTTCTCCTACAGGGCTTTTCTGACTGCTGTGGCAAACTGAAATCAGTTCATAATCATGTCAAAATGGGGGCTTGTTTCTTCTTGCATTGTCCCCTAAGACACCACCTGCAAGTATGAGAGGAAAGGGAAGGGAGCAAAGTACCCACCATTAGCTCAATTGTCTGTCAGACTTATTGTGTGGACTTCAGAAAACAATGCCACTGTGACTAATTGTTGGGTTGTTGTTGGTTTATAACAGGGAAAAGGGGCAGGGCCAAATACAAAAAAATGCCAGTAATGGTTTAACTTAAACTTAAACTTTAATTTACTGCAAGCAATGTGTCCTTAGGAGAGGCATTTCAACATTTTAGAACAGGCGGGAAAACTACACAAAAGGCCAAAAAAAAAAAAAAAAATCAAATGATTGGTAATTCATTGAAATGGGGTTGTCCCAGAAAACAGAAAAAGCATGACTGTGCCTCTATCTTGAGGTTCCTACTCCTACTTTACTAGTAACTATAGAAGACTTTGACATGGTCAAAGCTGCAGCACTGTCCATTTCTGAGCAGTTGCTATGGTGTCAGTCCACTTACAGAAGAGTTCTATGTGTGGAACTCTCCATCAATGAAAACTTCATGCTTGGAGTGAAAACCTGGAATTCAAATATACATGACAAAAGAGCTGCAATTGCATACAATCTCTCCCTTTACATTATTAAACATCTATTTTAGTAATCCTGTAATCCTGTTTGTACAGATCATATGTAAGTCGCTCTGGAAGCCTTTTTACTGAAGTCTGGGATAATATACTTTGAAAAATAAATAGATAGATCTGTGAACTGAATGCATTGAGTGTGGCAAACCACATACACCACAAAATAAAATAGGTACTGTACCTATTTAATCCTCAGAAGCACTGAACATGAATCACTACTACACACAGTGAATTCATGTGTGATATGGTACTTTTGACCCAAAACCAGACAGACAAGATACACTCTGCCAACTGGTGGTCAGGTCTTGTGCACCTTCCCTGTTGGCTTCATCACCTATCCACAGAAAATCATAGAAAAAAAAGAGTTGGACAGGGCCTATAAGGTCAGCAAGTCCAACCCCCTGCTCAATGCAGGACTCCAAGTTAAAGCATCCCTTACAGATGGCTGACCATCTTCTACTTAAATGTCTCCAATGTGGGAGAGACTGAGACCAACCAGCCTAATTTATTCCATTGCCACACTTAAGGAGGCTTAAGTGTTTGGTTACCCATATCAGAATGTAAATAGAAGCAGAGGGCATAGGAATTAGCACAGGTTATGTTCTGGTGCTTCCCCATCTCACCTATCTTACATGATTGTTTTAAGATAAAGTCAGCAAACACACCAAGTATTACCAGAAATGTTTAATGTCATTCTATAACTGAGTTAACAATGAGTTGAATCCAACGTTATTCCTATATAGAAAAGTTCTACTGAAATGAATGGAATTCATGATTAACCTAAGTCCCATTCATTTTAAAAGGTCAACTCTAAGTAGGCCTAACATTAGAGTCAACCCAGTATTAGGTATACCAGGCTATATTGGGAAGAAAGGAATGGAGAAGTCAGCCCAGAGATGAAGGAGTGACCTTGGCCCTGCAGGAAGAACGAGCCTAGCCTTTACAAACAAAAACGAAACAAACACGTTCAAGGAATCGCGGCTGGCATGAAGAGCAAGGACAGGACACCACAAAATTAGATGAAAAAGGAGACTCACCTGATTTTCCTCACTCAAAATCAGCGGAACTTGAAGATGTCTCTACAAGGGCTGCGCGTAGTGACGAAGGCAGACAAGAAGGGTCACCTCACACAGACCCCGTTAACCCCGCCACGCGTGAGCCCCAGGCACCCCTGCAAATATGAAAGCGAAAGAGGCCACCGCCAGGCTGCCTTGCAGTGACCTTCCTAGGCCCCTTTCCTCTTCCTGCGAGGTCGCTTCGGCACCAGGGCAAATGAGGCGCCAAGCGACGGGTCGCGACGCGCAGGAGGCGAGCACCGAAGGACAGCAGGCGACAAGGCGCGCCACACTCACGCACTCCCGGCAGCCACTTAAAAGCCGCCGCGGCGCTCAGCAGGCCTCGCCTCCTTCCCCGTCGACGTCAGGGCCGACGGTGAATTCCCTCCCCTTTGCCCCCGAGCTCCTCACAAAGGTTCCGCCTGAGACGGAAGAACTGAGACCGCGGCCGGCCCTGGCGCTTTCGTGTCTAAAGGCTTTCCTTACTCGCGACAGGATTCCGAGGAGGAAGGCGAGGTCCTGGCCTGGATGCTGCAGATAACCTTCACGGGACGAACTCCTTGTAAGTGGCGGCGCCCCGAAATTTAATTGTCTTCCTGAGGGAGATACCGAGGGCGCCGCCTTTGCTTTCTTTTCCGCGCCAAATTCAAACGTTCTTTTTTGCCGAGGTATTTTAAAATGTTAAACATACAATCCTATTTACTCAGTAGTACATCCCACTATGTTCAGTGGACCTTATTCCCAACAGAGCGTGCATAAGATTGTAGGCTAAGTGTTAATTGAATTGTTTGTTTGCTGGCAATTTTGTTATTATATGAAATTTGTATCTTTACGTCACTGTATGTAAAAGCCTGCGATCCATTAATGGTGAAGGGCAATTTATAAATTTTAAAATAAATGGATGTGTGTAGATTAAATGTGGGGAAGAGGGGACTAGTATTGCTGGATCAAGAGATTTGAATTCTTTGGAATGTGTTGGATAGGGGACAAAAGCTGAACAAAGTTATAAACATTAAAGACTTGATTTGGTAGAAATTTCCCAACATTTCTTCACAACCATGAAGGATAGAAGCAAATAAAGAAATAGCAGAAAAGAGGTTGAGAAGGTCATGGAAAAGGTTGGCAATGTGTGTTGTATATTTAGATTGCAAAATACATAAGATCATTTGCATATATTAAGTGATTTTCTTGTGTCTGTCAAGGGATATTTGTCTTGGTAGTTGTTAGTTGCAGAGGTAACTAAATGAAACTGAGAACAACTTTAGCCTGTCTAAAATATACCACAGGGAAAATAGCAACCACTGATCAGAATGAAATAGTCTTCAGAAAAATATATTCACTGGAGTACTGTAATATCATCCAATTTCTTGCAGTATTCTACTGTGATCAAGCAAATTTCACTGTAGACTGAATTAGCCATTCCTTAAGTTTTAACATTAAGATTCTGAGTTTACATGAACAAATTGGATGAAGCAGTGTATACATTTAAAAATAAAGGAACCATCCATGTGGCTGTGTAACTCTCCAAACTTGGAGGATTACAGGCATTGAATGTGAAAGATGTGTGGAGTAAGGATTGCCTCTGCTCCTCCCTTGCCCACCAAAACACTTAGAATGGTTAATTTGTCTTAAGTATTTACACCTGCTTGTGAGGCACTCCCAGAATTCCTTGTACCCCAGCAAAGCCTCAGTCCTTCCCTCCTAGCCCTTTCAACCCCCCCCCCCCCCCCGTGCTGACCCACAGTTGCTATGGAAAGAACTGAAACAGCTGCAAATGGTTGGAGGAGGCAAAGTCCCAAATGTAGAGGCTCAGGGTCCCATATCCAACCTCAGAATGTATTTCCATGATTGGGGCTGGGGCTCTAACTTATCCTATGATATTCTAGCCAGAAGATTGAGCCCAAATCTAACGGTGTCTGGGTTGCTACATCAGAAATATGTAAGGGCTTACTTCCCATAAGAAGTTCAGCAAAAGATGAATTAAAGATTAATTAAAATAATTTAAATATATTTTATCTTACCCAAAGATTCCATGTTTATAACAGGCACAATCACTTTCTAATAGCTGATGGAGTTGAAAATGCTAACTAATGAATCCCCCTTTCTACCTGCTCTCTTCATTTTTCATCCCATCCTGCCTTTTTATTTGTGCATTTAATTATTTATATGGTCACACTATATAATAATCAACTTCAATACATGGTCACACTATATAATTCTCAACTTTAATACAATTACATAATGTAAGAGTTTTAAAAATCAGCAAGGCCACATAATATAATGGATTTGTGATCTCTACATGCATAATACAATGGTTTTGTGACTAGCTCAAACATAATAATATAGCAGACATGAGACCAACACACAGACTGGGTTTTATTTCTAACAGCTTTAAAGCTTAACTACTAAACTAGTCCAGTGCCTAATAATGCTCATCATTTAACATGCTAGCTTTTAATCCATAGTTTACAGACTCTAATGTTGTTGAATGATGGGAGATGTGGGACAGATAAAAAGCAGTGGTTCCGTAGACAACACTTGCTTAAATTATGGAATTTGCTATCACAAGATGAATATTCACTTGGCTGGCTTTAAAGGGGGATTCGTGGAGGGGGAACATGAGAGCAAGTTCATGGAGAAAAAACTGTTAATGGCTGCTAGTCATGATGGCAATATGCTGGTTGTATCCTCACATCATGACAAGCCATGCTGGAAGTGGCACAGTGCTTCACTATGGCTTGTTATGTGTGATCCCAGTTATAATGTTTCCATTTGGTGGCAGCAGACACTCCAGCCTCCATTGTTTTTGCTATCCTGTTCTGAGTGGCAGCTGCTAAGGCAGCTGCAGGTGTGCTCTGATGGGCTGCCTTGTACTGCTTTTCTCCTCTTTCTTCCCAGTACCTGCTGCAGCTCTGAAATCTTGGTGACAGCAGGACATTGCACTGTGCCATCTTCAGCAGCAGTGACCTTGGAGGCATGCTTGGCATTCCTGTGGGATTGCTACAGGTTGCTTGAGTAGTGCTTTCAAACTTTGGTGCATTTGCTCTGCTTTTAGAGCCAGTGGTCTCCTCTTGTGAAAGCTTCCCTACATAAGAGGAGCACAGCCTTGCATGCAGGGAAAACCAAAAGGGTGATCACCTTCAGGGACTCAGGTTTCCTCGCTCTCCCCCCCCCCCACCTTCTCTGCATTTCTATTCTGTCCCTGGCATTCCTGAGGGTTACTGGCAAATGCTTCTCTCCTGCACCCCCTGCCCCACCACAACTGCAGATCAAACATCCTTTGCAGCCATCCAGAAAACTTTCCCAGGCAGATGCCTACACAGGGACTCTTGGGGAAGTCTTTCCAGCAGCTTCTGTGCCTTGGGGGGGTGCAGGGTGTGTGGACTCGTGTTGCGAGAGAAATGGGTGTGTGGGTGGTGTGCTTGCGCATTGGGGCTGAGCAGCAAGGTGCATCAGTACTACTCTATTGAGTAGGTAGTTGCTTTGCTTTGCAGCAGAAAAATACCCATGCCAAAAAAGGCAGCTGGCTGAGGCCACACCCAAGGGACTGCATGGGCCAATGAGGGAGAGGCAGGCAGGAGCAGTGCACTCTGGGATTGATTTTGAGCTGTGGGAGCTGCTGAGACACATGCTACCATTTGGAGGGAAGATGGAGAAACAGGCAAACCATACATACATAGAAACCTCACAAATGTGTGAATCCAGGACACAAGGTGAGATTCTGTGCCATGTCGCATTGCTTAGCGTCAGATGTGTACGTGGCTGCTACCTCCAGTATCAGAGGCACTATGCATCTGTATGGTGGTTGCTAGGAGGAGCAGAGACCTCGAACTCATGTCCTGATTGTGGGTTTCCCATACGCATCTGGGAACAGAATGTGGGACTAGCTTGATCATTGTTCTGATCCAGCAGGGCTCTTCTTATATTCTCCCCAACTCTCCCTAAAATATACATGCTTTTTAAAGTATTTCAAGGGTGGTTCAGAAGTACAAAAATGATCCATTAATTCAACAAATTGCAATTGCACACCAAGTAAAACCAGCATAAAATCTAATTATGACAGTTTTATTTCACTATCTTTAGAGGTCCCTGGTACTTTGATCCATGCAATTCAAATTGCTTTTCTTTAAACAGGAGAAAAATATTGCATACAAAAATGACTGAGTTAGATTTTTTCCATGACCATCCAGCTTACGTTATAGGGGGGTGAATTTATGCCTTTATCCTTTGTCTTTTTTCTGTGAAACAGAAGCTGCTGTGTATGCAGGTATGTTTATTTTCTGTTTGGTATTGTAAGACTTAGAGTTTCAATGAGAGAGAATTATAGGAACTAGGGGTCTGCTGGAAACTTCCTTAATAGTCATTAGCAAAGTTGCCAGGCATATCTTTGCATAAGAAAATTACAGGTACATGGTCCTGGAAGGTGAGGAGATGGTTGGAGGAGGAGGAGGCAAGCATGTTGTGAGTGAGAACCAGTAGAGGTAGTTTTTCAAGTGAGACATAGAAAGATGCATAGAACTGAGTTTGAAGGTTTCTGTAAGTTAACTGTCTCTCCCTGGAGTTGTGAGTGGGTTTGGTTATCTGTTAAAATGTTAAGCTGTGATTCCAAGAATGTTCAATATGTATGTTTTTCTAAATAAATGTGACTATTACAAACATCATAAACCTCTAGTGATCTTCTTCTAAAGGAAACTGAAATTGGGTAATGTATCCTTGGAAATTGTTATTGCTCAGGGAAGCAGTAAAACAATATAAATGAAAGATTTCTTTCAAGTTGCCTTTTGTAGTGTGTTGTATACTTTAAATTGCAAATGTGGGTAGTGGAAATGTGTTCTTTATTGATGTTTGAATGTGATTTTTTTTCCTATCAGTGATGAAGAAGAATTTCAAGCATTTTGATTTACCTTCAATGAGCTTTTTGTGAATATATTTCTATAGAATTCGTAACTTATGTATTATTTATCAAACTATATTAGATATCAGGATTGTATTATTCTTATTATACTGTAACTTTATATTTGTGATGTATTGACCCTGGGATATGGAATTTGCTTTTTATTGCAGTTTGCAAAAATAAAATTTAAAAATTTGTTCTTTGCTCAAATGGTCTAATTGCTATTTTTATTTGTGCAATCTTGGTGCTTTAAGATCATTTCATGTAACTTTATTTCTTTATGTATGATGAATGTCTGCTCACTACGGATGTAAAATATAGGTGGTAGTTATCTAGCTTTAGCACAATCACTGATCTGGTTTGTAAAAAAGCTATGTCCAGCTATATTGGATTGTAAAAAATTGTGAGTGCTCTGATTCTTTCTGTTGTACTGCTCCTATGGATAGATTGGTATG